GGGGTAGATTCCCATGATTCATCAGTCCATTATTCTATTTCAGAGATGAGGAAACAATTCAGAGAGATTAGCAAATTTGCCCGAGGGCACAAACAAAATGAATTACAGAAGAATTCATGACCCTAAAGCCTATGCCGTTTTCCCACCACCGCACTGTATGTTATTATGCCTGGTTTCCCTTTATTCCTATTTGCCGAGTCGTCTCCACGCCTCCCATTTCACATGCTCCTTGGTTTGCCTCTCTATCAATATCCCGCCTACTTTCAAAGACCAATTGAAGTAATTTTATCTTGCGTGAAGACTTCCTTCGGATCCTCAGCCCACTCCGATCTTTCCACCTCCAAATTCCTATAGCTCTTATCTTTTCTGCTTTCATGTTGTCAGTAATGTTTTTGGAGTGTCTATTCTGTGCAAGTCACTATTCTAGGCTTAGGGGGTCTATCGGCAAACAAAACAGACAGAAATCTCAGCCCGCAGGGAGCTTAGATCCCCGTGGCAGCAGAAAACTTTACAACATAAACGGAAAATAATCATACGGTGTCCTAGAAGATGGTAAGGGCTGTGGGACAAAATTAAGTCGGAGCGGGAAGAATGAGTGTGAGGGCAGAGGGAGTGTTTATTAGGGGGTGTCAGGACAAGCCTCACCAAGAAAGTGACTTCTGAGTAAAGACTCTGGAGTAAAGGCATTGCCTGATCTCAACTAAGTTGTGTTTCTGAGATGAAGGAGGTTTGTGACAAGGTGTCTGCTTCCCTTTCCGTGTCCTGCCCAAAATTCTCTACCTTGTTAGGGGCTCAACAAACAACACTTGGTCCTTGTTAACTTGTTAATTCCGTGCACCAGTGGTCTAAATCTTCATATTCAGGAGCATTTTGAAGCATTAATGGTGCATCTCTCCATTCCGACCTCAACTGTTAGTTACATGTCCTTTTTGTCAGAAGGGAGGCCCTGACATCATGAGAGAACACCGCCCCCTTCTGGGCAGGGCCACTAGCAGCTTTTGGCTCTTTCCTGTGTACCTACACACTGCGCACTACACTGTACCCCATTATTGCCTACTGATCAACCGCGAATGCTTAGATTAGCATTTGAATACAACTTTGCCGTTGCCGTTTCAGCATCATCTAAGTAAATGACTCAGGAAAAAAAGGAAATGATTCAGAAATGAAGTTATTTCCTCAATAAAACCACAACATCTCCAAAGGAGAGGGCTCCATAGCAGTAACTCAGACCACTTGAGGTGGGTTAGTCTCACAACATATGGGGAAAGGAAGCGCCAAGGACTCCGTTCCTTAGCAGTTAGCACCACCTCTGGCATGAATGGACGTAGCATAAAATTGCCTCTGACTGACTTCATGACCTTAGTGTTGTTATCTAAACGCTCTATGCTTCCGTTACCTCTCTAAAAACTGAGATTACTAACACCTGTCTTGCAGTGTTATGAGATTTTTTTTTTTGAAAGTCCATTTAAAGTGTCTCGTAGACAGTCGTTTTCAGTATGGGGTAGTGTACCAGTCACGATTCTGGATTGCAGGTCATCTCGGAAATAATCTCTGGTTCGCTTTTGCAGAAAGGAATTTATAGGCAGCCTGAAAGCTCAGAGCCGATGTAGAGTTTTGAGAGGGGGGTCGGGAGCTAGCCAGCCCTCGATGAGATTTCCCACGGGAAGGGTCTGAGCAGGACACCATTGCCGCTACGCCAAGACTGGGGTCACTGCGGTTGCCAACAGAATGAATCCCAAATTGCCAGTGCCTTTGGGCCACCCCTTTAACTCAAGTCCTGGGGGGAGCATCGGATTGGCTTAGGTTCTGTGTCTGCACCACGTGCCGGAGGCCAGGAGACCCAGGGGCGGCCACTTGGGCATCCTAGGAGCGTCTGGTCTCACACTGTGGTGGGTCCTTGAAACATAAAATGGGGGTTCCAATAAACAACAGCCCCAAAGCACGAAACGTCTACTACAGATAGCTCCTGTGACTATTATGTGGTTCTCTGCAAGCCAACTCTTTGCACTTAGTGGAATAGTTTTATAGTTAGAATGGGACTTTATAGTTAGAAATGGGCCCCTCATTATAAAGTTTGGGAAACCAAGGTCCAAAGAGATGACTTATACTAAATTACACAGGAAGTGGAGAGCAGTTAGGTCTTGAACTTAGGTCTCCTGATTGTCAGTTCAGTGTGCTTCGCAGTATTCTTTCCCATCTGTCAAATGAGCGTGATGGTGAGGCTTACTGCCAGGGACTCTTCTCATTGGATCTTAGCTCAAGCATCACTTCATTAGGAGAGACGTCTGTCCCCAGCTTGTCCAGCTCGTTCGAATCCCCTCTTAGACCACCATGGCACTTCTTGGCATTACACTTCTCAGTTTTATAATGAAAGTATTGTTGTAGGATTTTTTTTTTTAACCTCAATACCCAGAATTCATTGTCTTGCCACTTCAGAGAATGGAAGGTGGACACAAAATGAGTAGCGGGCAAAAGTTTATTAGACTATGAGGTCAGAAAGGAAGAAGAGTATGAAAGCCCTCTTTACATAGAGGGGACGTTTGAAAGTGAATGCCCGCCGACTATAGGAAAGAGGTCCTCGTTTTATAACGTTGGGTCACCCCCCTACCACCTGCCCCTTCCCCCTCTTTCCTTCTCAGGTCCTGCCCTCATTGGTTTGATACCAGTAGGTGCTGGGTTGTCCTTTCCTGATTGGCTCATTTCCGTTGTATGAGAGGTGGTCTGTGGCCATATCAGTCCCTGTGGGCTATACATTCCATGGTCTACTACTTATTTTTAGTTGGGTCTTCTGTCACATTCCTGAGCAAACCTGAAGGGGAATAGGTGGGGTCTGTCACATTCTTAAGAGGGACCCTAAGCCCGAGGGGGTCTGCTGTGGTCAGACGCTCCCAGCATTGTTCCAAAATAGGTGTCTTTCCCCACCCGGGGACCTCAGGTCCTAATCCTTCCCTCTCTGCCTACTGAATCCTATCTTTTCCTATCATACTGACAACTCAGAGCCTGGAGCCTGCTTTGGACTCTGTGTCTCTCTGTCCTTCATCCACTCATGCTCACTGTCTCTCTTTCAAAATAAGCAAATTTTTGAAAAAAAAAAAAAAGTGTTATCCTTTGAGAATGCATCTGTTACTTCAAGTGTCAATAACTGTCCATATGCCAGCAAACTTTCAAGTCTAGAGTTTCTAAGCTTTGGACATTTGTTTCGAGTAACTACTGAAGATCTCCCAGGGATTGTCCAGCTGGTGTCTGAAATGCACAGAACTTGACTCGTTGTCTTCTCCCCAAAGTCATTCTTCTTTCTCTGTTGTCGATTTCTGTAATGGTTTCACTACCCACCCAGCCATCTAAGTTAGAAGTTTAGGAGCCGTCCTCCCTGTTCCTCTCACTCCATTCTCACATTCAGAGTTGACAGAAGCTGGTGATGACTGCCGGCCTTATCAGCTGCCTCCCTGCACCCTTTCCACTTTTCCGGTGTATGTCCACCCACAAGCCTTCTTAGAGACTCTGCTAGAGAGACTTCTCTGGCTTCTGCTACTCATATGGGGAAACCCAGAAGTGCCAGGGAGTTAAAGTTCCTGGGAACAACCCTCAACGAATGACTGGTGGAACTTGATGGAAGTATCTTGGGTAGGGACACTGAGGCACGTTCTATACCATCTCCCAGACGTCTCCAGGGAGTCTGAGTACCAACTGTGCACAATTGTAATCTCTTTGTTAATGCATCTGAAATCGTTCCCATCCCTTTTTCATCCTCTACCAATGCTTGCTTGGATCAGTTCTCAAATAAACTCACTGCACTCAACTGCTTCTTTCCGGGCCTGCTTCTTGGGCTGTTCAACTAAAACAGTGACCCAGTAAAGGAGTTGGGAATGGCTACACAGTTTTCACTAGGGATGACTGGCTCTTTGGAGGTATTCATGAATCACCAATGTAAGTGTGAAAATATGCATTTTTAAATAAGAAATTGGATAGTTGGAACTAGGTGCTGACAGGATCACCCGGTTGGACATGTTGCATAGACAACGGAAAATACGGAATTAGAGATCAAAGGAGAAGTACAGACTGGAGATAAGTATCTAAGAGTTATCAGTGTATCTAGGCAGGTACTAAAGCCGTGAAAATGGTTAAGGTGGCCCAAATGCCTGTGTACAGAGGAAAGGATAGGGAGAGTGGATTTTGATCTACAACTAGCAGCCTGTGTAGCAAACGCTAACTGAACATCGGTCCTACCTTCTCCCCTAAAACTGGGTACGGGTAGGTAAGGAGTCATTTCTTACTGGTATTTAAATCCAGAGCCCAGCATGGTGCCTGGGGAGTAAATGTGGAATTAGCTTTCATTCACACTATACAGGGACCACAAAGCATGGATCAGACCTTAGATCTCCGTGCTCGGTCTTGAGGACAATGTCTTCCATGGTCTCTTATGAAAACCTACAGTCTCATCCACCACCCGGCCATCCTAATTTGCTCCTGGGCTTTGCCGGTTAGCTGACTTAAAGTAGGCTGCTGGTCAAGCCAAAGTGTGTGGCCCCATCCCTTACACAGTGCTTGATTCGAGGGGAGATACTATAAGGCGGTCATCCTTCCTCGGCGCGACCTCGGGGATACCCAACCTTTCAGGGCCTCACCCCGTTAACGGTAAATCCTTCATATAGTTGCTGTGAAACGAGACGAGGCCTGGAAAGTGCTGAGATTCTTCAGCTTCGCACAGTCAAGAGGCCGTCAGGCCTTACTTTCTGCAGCTTGCACCAAGCAAACGACAGTTTTGTTAACTTATTTCATCCTGCAAGTAGAAGATCCCATGACAACCCCCCCCACCCCCCCATTTTCCTATCGCCGGTAAGATGGTACCGCACTGCCTCGCTGCCACAAAGCGCTACGTGCTTTACGACAGTGTGCGACTCCGCGCCTGACAGGCACGCCTAGTCCCGCGGGGCCCGACCGCTCGGGCCAATCGCGCGGCGCCGGCCCCGTGACGTGCGCTGCGCCTGCGCCTGCGCAGGGCGGGGAGACCTTGGCGAGGTGGCCGAGGAGCCTGGCGGAGGGGACGGCCGTGGCGGCGAGGAGAGTTGAGCGGCACGATGCAGAGCTGGAGCCGTGTGTTCTGCTCCTTGGCCAGGGTGAGGGCCGGCTGGGCGGGGTCGTGCGGGGCCGGAGGCGCCGACCGAGTCCGGGACGCGGCCGCGCCGGTGGGGGCGGGAGAGGCCGGGCGTCGGGCCGGGACCCCCCGCGGCCCCGCCCCTGAGCGGGCTCTGCCCGGGAGGCGGCCGGGGCGGCGACCCCGGCGGCGGTGACCCCGGCCCCGGGGGCGGACGGGCCCCGCCTGCTGGGTGACAGCCCGCCGCCGCTCACCGCCCGCTCGCAGGCCGCGGTCCTGGGGCGCACGGGCCTCTCCGCCGCGGCGGGGGACCGGGAACTCGCGCTTGCCCCGTCTGCTCCGGCCTTTCTGTATCCTGCCTTTGAGCCCGAGCCCGGCTCTCCGCCCTAGGGCGGCAGCGGGCAGGTGACCTTGGGCCCCGTCTGGAAGTGCCCCGACGCGGTCAGCCCCAACAGGTCGCCCTGGAAAGGTCTCGGAGGCCTCTTGGGGGTTTGCAGCTGTGAGGAGGGCCCCTGCCCCGCAGCGGCTGCGGCGGGCTGCCCCTGTGCAGGCCGGGCTGCCCGACGCGGGGTCGCGGCCGGGTGCCGCACTGGTGGGCCCCTGGGCCGCACGCTGACCAGCCTCCGGTTCCGGGGGGCTAATGTGAGACGCTGGGGGTGAGGCTTCTAGGCGGGCGCGGAGCCGGGACTGACGGCGGCGCCTCTGGGCCGCGGGTCCTGGCCTCGGGCGCCCCGGGGGAGCCCGGCTCCGTCAGTGCGGGTCTCGTCAGAGCCTCCCCTCTGCCTGCTGTGGAAGAGCGGTTTGCTTTGTGTCTTTGTGCCTCACTGTCCCAGGGTCGCAGACAGTAGGCGTCCAGAGAGTTCTGCTCCCGATTGTGATGCAGTTTGTGAAACTGGAGTAGCTGTTGCACGTCTGCAACTGCTTTTCGGAAGTTACATTGTCTAATTTTCTGTTCCTACTAAAAGGAGCATCTTTGTAGATCTTGCGCGGCAGTCTGAGTGAGGAAACAGTTACAAGTAGAAAGATTGTGATAATAGAGATTATTGGCTATTTAAGTTAGGGCTCGAAGAACTATAATTGTGACATGAAAACGATCCCTGGCACCAAAAATTACCCGTGCTTTCTGAAAATTGAATAAAACTTGACACCAGTGAGTATCGCTTTTTTATTGGGCTATGACATAGGTTGTTGGATATTCATAATGAAAAGATAGCGTGGTGAGCCGAGGTGGAAAAGTTTAAGCAATTGTCATTATGAAAGAGGAGAAACGTGTAATCTCCGTGTGGCAATGGAAGATACATTAATAATAGTAGGTGCTTGATAAAATTTGCTCCAGGTCATTACATTTTCATGGACCTTCAGTAGTTCTCTGGTTTGAATTCACATTTTATAAAGTACAATCATTTTCTTTCTTTTCTCCAGAGAGGCCATTTCAATCGAATATCTCATGGCTTACAGGGAATTGCTGCCGTTCCTCTGAGAACTTACGCCGATCAGCCAAGTAAGTACTTAGTAAAACAGTTTTTCCTCACATTAGCTCCTAGTTCCTTTGTGTTTAAATGTAAAAGTAAGTGAATAGTAGAGTAACTGATAATATAGTAGCTGGTGATAGAATTTGTTTGTTCATATATTTATTCACTTAAATGTTTATTGAGCACGTAGTGTCTCCAAGTGGTGAACAAGGCAAAGCCCTGCTTAGAGTCTGGTGACGGAAGACAAACAATACTGAAGTAATAGGTAAATATTTTGGGTAGTGGTTGCAAATCAAAGCCAGCAACAGAGGAGGAAGAGACTATTTTAGATAGAGTGCCAGGGCTTTCCTAAGGAGATGATATCCGAGCGAAGGGCGGGGGTGAGGTTACTTCAGGCAGACAGAAACAACGAGGAAAGGAAACGGGCTAAGGTGAGAATTAGCTTGTGAAGTTTAAGGCATCACAGGAGGGCGAGTGTGGCTGGAGCAGAGACCCAGGGGATGTAAGTCAGAGACGGGGGCGGGATCAGATCATGGGGGCTTTTGGAAGCAGGTGAAGGAGTTTGGATTTTACTCCAGGTGTGATGGGAACGCCAGTGAAGGGTTTTGAGCAGGGGAGTGAGTTTTGAATGTTTACATCGAAAAACAGGGGCTCCTGGGTGGCTCAGTCGGTTAAGCATCTGACTTCAGCCCATGTCACGATCTCTCAGTTCATGAGTTCGAGCCCCGCGTCGGGCTCTGTGCTGACAGCTCAGAGCCTGGAGCTGGTTCGGATTCTGTGTCTCCCTCTCTCTCTGCCCGTCTCCCCTGTTCACCTTCTCTCTCTCTCTCTCTCTCTCTCTCTCTCTCTCTGTCTCTCTGTCTCTCTCTCAAAAAGTTAATTCTGTTTACTGGGTGAGATTAAGTGTGGTGGTTGCTTGACACGGTTTAGAACGGTGAGATGGCTTTTTTGACATCCTGAGTGGAGATTTGATGGGCTTGTCAGAGATGTATGATGGGACTAGGAGCATGTACCCTGACCGGAAGCTCTGGATTACGGAAATTTTCCTCTTTTTTAAAAAATATTTTTGAAGCTTCTATAAAGGATATATATTTTTTATTTTAAGTATTTAAAAGAGGAAGTTAATAGGCTTGTAGTTATATAATTTTTTTTTAATAACATCCCGTATGGAGCCTGGTACAAACCCAGCAACACCTGGGCCTTACTTGGGCTCCGCAGCCTTTAATCGTGTTGCCGTCTTGTAAGATTTGTGCTTCCGTTTTCCCCCCTTTATAACTGGCGGAACTGACTCAAAAGAGGTCCAGCTGAGAAGTGACAGAAATGGGAAAATTCTTCTGACTCTAGAGCCTACGTTAAAAAAAATTTTTAATTAAAATTAAAAAATTAAATTTTTTAAAATGTTTATTTATTTTTGAGAGAGCGTGCACACGAGCAGGGGAGGGGCAGAGAGAGGGAGACACAGAATCCGGAGCAGTCAGCACAGAGCCCGACACAGGGCCTGCACCCACAAGCCGTGAGGTATGACCTGAGCCGAAGTAGGCTGCTTAACCAACTGAGCCACCAGGAGTCCCTGGAGCCTACATTTTTAACTTCTTTTTTTTAAATATTTTTATTTATTTCTAGGAGAGAGAGAGAGAGAGAGACAGCGTGACAGCGTGATAGCATGAGCAGGGGAGGGTCAGAGAGAGAGGGAGACACAGACTCTGAAACAGGCTCCAGGCTCTGAGCTGGCAGTCAGCACAGAGCCCGACGCGGGGCTCGAACCCACGAACCGCAAGATCATGACCTAAGCGAAAGTCGGACGCTTAACCGCCTAAGCCACCCAGGCGCCCCTTTTAACTTCTGTTCTATTTGGTCTGCTTCTGTTGACTATTTGTTGATCAGAGCAGCTTGAGGAGTTCAAAACTTATTATAATACAGTCTCTATTACAACATCTGGAAGGTGTTCGAATAACTGTATGAACCAGATTCATCAAGATTTGAAGAGTAGTGTGCGTGTTGTTGGTAGGACCTTCTATTTCATGACAGGAATGGACTCCCAGCGCGTAATCACTCACATTTGCTGCATTCATTCCTCGGTTCAACAGCTCTGGGATAGGTTCTGTGTGCTAGTGACTGGGATGTAGCAGTGAGCAAGTCAGACCAGATGCGGCTTTCATAGAGTATATAGTCCATTTGGGCAAGACAAGCATCCATCAAATAATCGTGGTAAGGACTCCGTAGGCTAAGGATAGGGGAGCCATGAAATCTCTGGACTGAGAATGTGCGCAGAATGCTTTCCCAAGGAAATGGTGTTGATCTCTGAAAAGGGCTGGGGTGGGCGTGGAATGGGAGGGGGTGTTCCAGGTAGAAGTAGCGGCTTGTGGGAGTATTTTGATGTGAGAAGGAGCACAGTGCCTTTAAGGAGCTTGAAAAGGGCCAGTGTGGCCGACGTGCATTGAACATTGAGAATTGACCTCTGCAGATAATGAAAGATCCTGACTGTATTTTAACAGCAGTTGCAAGTCTTTGGGAGTGTTTTAAGCAGAGGCCTGATACGATTTGTTTTTTGTTTTCTGTGTGTGTGTTGTTTTTGTTTTTCTTAAGTTTATTCTTGAGAAACAGCACAGATGTGTGCGTGAGCAGGGGAAGGGGGCAGAAGGAGAGAGGGAATCTCTCGTGGAGCTAGATTCTGGGCTTGATCTCTTGCACCACAAGATCATAACCTGAGCTGAAATCAGACATTTAACCAACTGAGCCACTCCATGCCCTGATGTGCTCTGTTTTTTTTTTAATTTTTTAAATGTTTTATTTATTTCTGGGGGGAGGTGGGGTAGTGTGAGTAGAGAAAGGTGAGAGAGAGAGAGAGACAGAGAATCCAAAGCAGGCTCCAGGCTCTGAGCTAGCTGTCAGCACAGAGCCCAACGTGGGGCCCGAACCCACGAACCGTGAGATCATGACCTGAGCCGAAGCCAGACGCTCAAGCGACTGAGCCACCCAGGCGCCCCTGATGTGCTCTGATTTTAAAGATCGTTCCTGTTTCACATTGGGGTTTTTATTGTAATGCTTTTCGCTTTTTCTCTCTTACTAGACTGGAAGAACCAAGTCTGTGTCGTTGTAGGTACCCCAAGACCTTAGAGTTGTATCTAGCTCAAGAAGTGTTTGTTGAATGAAGAAAAAAGAAACACCAGGGACGGAGAGAGTGATGTCTGGTCGGGTGTCAGTGGGAGAGAGCAGTGGGGCAGCGGAGGTGTGACGCAGGTTGGAGGTTGTGGGTTGGGAGGTGGGTCTGAGGAGGGAAGAGACACCTGGTGAGCGCCCTGTACGCACCTAGCGCCCTCCTGGGGTGCTGACATGCGTTGTTATGTCCGACCTCAAGCCCTGGGATGTCGGTGTCCCTGTCACTCTGTTATCCCTGTGACGTCAAGGCCAGAAAGCGTGAGTAATTTGCCCAAGAATTTAGGAAGAGGTAAGCTCGTGTTTGAACACAAGTTTCTTCCCTTTTTTCTTTTTAAACTTCAAATCTTTTTTTCTTTTACTATTTTTCTCCTTACTTACGGATTCGGAAGGTTATAGGGTAATGATCAGAAAGTAAAGTTTTAGAATTCAAGATTTTAGAGGCGGGGCAGTTTTGGGTGATGACAGGTATAGGGTGAGACTGTGGAAGGGTCACTAAGTAGACTGGAGATTGAGGCCCCTCCACCCCCCAAAACAAGCAAACCTTACCAAGTAGCTCTTATACTCATTTAGTGAACTCGGTAATTAATAGTCACTGCCTTGTGATATCTTACCACTTTTATGTTTAAAAATAATCTTGATTTATGTATATTTTGAAATGTGCCTGTTTTCCCTGACTGTAGTGTCAGGTTACTGATGGTAGCAATTTCCTCTTGGGTAGGTGTTCATAAGTATTTGTTGGTTTCGTTATGTTAACGAGGCAGCTTTTTGTCATTTTCGTTGGGAGTTCCTGATTGCCTTGGAGACGACGGGGCCCCCGAGTGTTGTGCGTGGTATTAGGACAGACAGGTGTGGGAGCGGAGGCTTCCGAATGGAAAGAACCGGCTTTGAACCCTGGCTGTATCACTTATTGGTTGTGCAACATTATGCAGGTCATCTAGTCCCTCTCAGCCTTGGCTGCTCCCTGGGCAATGGAGTCTGATAATTGTGTCATGGAGACATAAGGAGGCTTAAATAAGACGCATGAAATCCTCAGCTCACCGCCTGGCACAGAGTAAATCATCCAGATGGTAGATGTTATTGCAGAGGGACTGCCTAATAAACATCTTGCACTTTTTGATGGCTGTCATTGATTTGTAACTCGACACGTGTATTTCAGTGGTGGCCTTGATGACAGTGTACTTGCTTTCCTCACAGTGATTTCATAAGTCACATTTGTAGAGCACTTTATCCTGCTTTGTCTCCTTCAGCCTGTGCAGCTGTTTTCTGCTGTACTTGGAGCTTAGTCGTCTTTCTCCTGGGGTACTGATTTTTGTGTCCTGTTTGGTTTTTCTTTTTGACTCTTAAAGGCTAGAGCTAATTTTCTAAAATTATCCATCAAGCGTTCCTTAATGTGTTTCATTTAATTATTTGTATCCTGGTTTTTAAAACTGTATGTGGAAATCAAATTGAGAAATGCTTTTGGACAAGGGAGCGGTGAGTCAGAATCTGCGTCGTCAGCTTTTCACCTGCGTGCAGCCTTCGTGTAGGTGAGAGCCTCCTGGGTTATCTTTCCAACATTTCATTCTGAAAAAGCTCAAACGTTTAGAAAAGCTGTAAGAATTTTCCAGTGAATGCTCATAGATGCTTCCACTGACATTTTACTGTACTTAAATTGTCACATATCTGTTCGTCCATTTAGCCATCCATCAGTCTGCGTTACTTTTTTGACACATTTCAAAAAAGACATTTTGCAGACATTCCCTAAATACTGGCGTGTTTTTGAAGGTGTGTTACTGGATCATACCCTCCTATAGTCTCAGGTGACTGATCTTTAGAGAAAGAATTTTCTTTTTGCCCTTCTTTTTTGCGCTCCCCAGCACTTTAGTGATATTCTGATGGCATGGTACATCTATTATCTTCAGTGAGGGGTGAACTGTTTTAACTTTTTGGTATTTCGTGTAGTTAAAAAAAAATTCTAAGAGCATGTTGGGAAATGAAACTCAATTTTTGTGGCGTTTCTGTGTTTAAATTTATTCAATAAACATAATGCTTTAATCAGAAAACAGCTTAAAAATTCAAAGAAACCTGTTTTTTATAGCTTGTGTTTCATTACTGTGAATTAAAAATGTGAACCCAAATTAAAGAATATTGTTGAGGCCCTCATTTGGTTCAGAACTTGAAAATAGATACACACTTTATTAAGTACTTAATTCTGAACATGAATCAGGGAACCAGACCACGCAGCCAAAGAGCGCAAGTGCATCAGTGAGAATTGCAGCAGTACTTTTCTCGTGTATTAGACTGGCTATACATTTTTTTCATGTACTGAGTAATCCTTATTATCATCTGATATAACCAAGGAGAATCAGTACTTTTTATTTATTCAGTAGGAAGGATTCTTAGATTTATGGGTTTGTGGGTTGGATAACTTCTTAGTTGTCTTTCAACACACAGGTTCTGTGTTTCTTTTCAGTCCCGCCAAAGATTTTTGATGATACTAGCATTCCCATCCCGTGGTGGGGGGAGTGTTTTCTCGCGGAGGGGACGACCAGAAGTTAAGATTGCCGTTCTCAGAGGTCAGAATATAACTGCCATAGAGCACATGCTAATTATGCGTGCTCCAAGTACTCTGCTAAGCTATTTACATATTTTATTTTGTATTATGACCCTATGAAGTGGATTATTTGTGGTCTTTATTTTGCAGTTAGAGAACCTGAAGATGAAGTGAAGCAGGTTAAATTACTCTCCTAAGGTTAGATATCTAATAATGATAAAGCTGGAATATTGCTCTCAGAGTTGTAGTTTATGGTAGTTGAAATTGAGGAATAGAATACTGTTGAATAATGGAATGACCATTGGCAATCGAGGCAAAAAGCTTGGATTTTGTCTCTGCCACTCACTTGCTAGGTGACCTTGGGCAAGTTAATTGACCTCTTTGCACCTGGTGTTTCTGATCTGTGAAATGTCAGTTACATGCCATCTTTACCCTCTTCAGAGGAAGTTCTGATCATCCAACAGATTAATAGATGTGAAAACGTGGTATAAACTGCTAAATGTTTGGAGTTGTAAGGACAGTGGAAGAGGAGGAGAAGAGAGACTGTCTCCTCTTTTTTTTTTTTTTTTTAATGTTTTTATTTATTTTTGAGAGAGACAGCATGAGCAGGGGAGGGTCAGAGAGAGAGAGGGAGATACAGATTCCGAAGACAGGCTCCAGGCTCTGAACTAGCCATCAGCACAGAGCCCGATGCAGGGCTCGAACCCATGAAACGTGAGATCATGACCTGAGCCGAAGTTGGACGCTTAACTGACTGAGCCCCCAGGCGCCTCATGTCTCCTAACTCTTAAAGCCAGTGTAGTTTTATTTGAAGTTAGCTTGGGAATAGTGAGAATAATTGTATTATAATTATTATATTACTAAGGCTGCTGATCAAAGTTAATTTCCAATTTTCTATCTTTGGTAAATGTCTGGAGTAGTTCATTTAATGTTCTGGTTAGCCTATTATCATAGACTGTTTGAAATTTATCAGGATTCAAATAACGTTCAAAACATGTTTGCCGTGTATTACAGGGAAGCTGATTTTTCTCCTTGTATCTCAAGTACAGTACCTGTGAAGGGTGGAATCGTTCTTAAATTTATTGACAGTACTAAGACATATACAAAATTTAATCCTAACATTTGTCATTTAAAGCAGTGTTGTTATTTCCTTTATGACAGAAAAATTAAGACAGTGGGTTACACAACTAATACGTGTTAGAGCTGAGGTTTGAGGCCAAGTCTGTCGGATTCCAAAGTTGTTTCCCTCATACAGACGTGTCCTCCGAAGTCCCTGAAAGCCTGTCTTGTTGTTACTAAGCAAAACGGTCAGTGGATACAGTGGATATAGGACTCAGTTGCATTTCCCATATGTCGCAATGAGCAAATAGAATATTAAATTTAAAAATGCCATTTTTAGTTGACATCAAAGAACGTTAAGTACCTAGGAATAAAATAGTACTGTATAGAAAAACTAGTTCTTTGTACTTTCTTGGAGGCTTAAAGTATCAGATTTTTTTTTTTAATGTTCTATTTTTGGTCAGTATTAAGCAGTTCACTGTTTATATCCATTTGCTTTTATTGAAGTCGATGCTGACGTCACAGTGATCGGTTCTGGTCCCGGAGGGTATGTTGCCGCTATTAAAGCCGCCCAGCTGGGCTTCAAGGTAAGGATTAGACCAGACGAGGGACGGTCTTTTTATTTGGCAAGAGTTGATCATATTCACAGAATACTTTGCACCTAAGTAATAGTGGTAAGTGTGTTTTTATTCTATAAAGTATATTTAGGCCCGAGACGGATGAAGAGTATTACTCGGTTGTGGTAGTCTCATGAAATAGTGAAGTCCATGATTCACCTCCCCGCGATACTCGAACGTTTGGCTTCTAATTTCACTTTGAAGCTACAGTAATAGAACTGAGAGCATGTGTTTGGTAATGTTAAACGAAAATGTCTTTTAGAATAATTCACTTTTGGGTTAGCCTGCATTTAGTGTTACTCAGATGAGAAATTTTAAGGGACTCCGTATTTCATTCTCACAAACACAGCTTCAGTAACTTGTTTTGTAGAAGAATTAAGTCAGATAAATGGGAATTTTAGGGACCGGAAACATGTAGGCTACATGCAGTTAAATAATATCTTCTTTGGTTGCAGACAGTGTGCGTTGAGAAAAATGAAACACTTGGCGGAACATGCTTGAATGTTGGTTGTATTCCTTCTAAGGTGAGCGTGTGTTTCGTACAGGGCAAAGGTTTCTTTCGTTAGCCACCAACTAGAAGGATGTTTTAAGACTAGAATATTAGACTCATAGAGTCACTAAAAAATAAGCAAGCGGGGTTAATACAAAACATGTTCTCCCTGGTAAAAGCTTCAGCAGTGCTGTCGCGAGTCCACCGTACATTCCTGAAATCGCTTCTTTGTCTTGGGGTCCCTTAGCCTTTCCATTCAAACAGACGCCGATGTCCTGTGGTATCTCTTTAGTTCTCCTTTACCAGCAAAACAGCTCATAGGTAGTAAATTCTTGTTTCAGGTGCTTGATGGATGTAGACGTGACTACCATTTTCACTTGCCTCCTGAAGAGTGTACTTATTCCTTTGCTTTTAAAGAAAGTAAAGATGTTTTTGTTTTTCATTCCTGATAGTTGAACATTATGTCATTATTATTTGACTTAGAGTAATTACATAAGAACAGAAACTGAATTGTTGTAGTTCTTTGTACTGTTGCATGTAGGGGATGTCCTTTCTTAAGTGCTTTTTTATTGTATATAGTCTTATAACATTTGATCATTTTATCTACTTAGGCTTTATTAAATAACTCTCATTATTACCATATGGCCCATGGAAAAGATTTTGCATCTAGGGGAATTGAAAGTAAGTATACCTCTCATATTTAGCAATAATACCAGCCACATTTGACTTGACTCTTCTGGCTAAAGACTTCTGTGTGTGTAATGAGTGCGTAGTACGTGTTTCATTGAGGAAAGAGTAAAAAGATATTAGAAATGTAGAGAGATTTACTTAAGGCTTAAATCCAGATTTCTACTATGACATCTTCAGTTCCTTTGACAACTTTTGTATGAGGTCTGCTGTGTGTGTGTGTGTGTGTGTGTGTGTGTGTGTGTGTGTGTGTGTGTGTATGAAGAGGCAGTTGTAATTTTTCTGAAACCTGGAGATCTCGGGGTGGGCGTTGGCACTGGACTCCCGAGCGCTGTGGGCAGGTGGCATGGAAGGAAGGAAGGTCTGCCTGGCCGTTCGGCAGCAACAGGAACAAAGGAGAGAGAGTGCGGGACGCAGCCTGGTGTGAAAGGAGGGGGTTCCGTTTTACGTCGGCACGTCTTGTCTCCTGCCGTTCTTTTTGGATTGTTTTCATCTCATCCTTTCTCACCAGTTGTTGACCGACCCATCCAGAAGGGTAGTCTGTTCTAGGAAGTACTTAAACGTACCAGTGGGTGTGGAGGGATAATCATTTTTCCTTCACTAGTTTGTTGCAGCAGTTTCTGAAAGAATGGGCCGTAGTAGGCCGTCCAGCGGGGATAGAGGGGATACATACGCACTAAAGCAAACGTATCAGAGTAGATGACAGGGAGACTCAAAACCCACTTTCCTGACTCAGGAAAGAAGAAACAGAGTTAGTCAAGAGACCTGCATTGTAGGCAAAGCTTCTTGTTTTAGCTCTGTGACCTCAGGTAAATCAGATCTCTCAGGGTCTCTGTGTGCTCGTCTCTGAGATACAGGATGGTCGCATATGTGGATTGCTAAGATCCCTGTCTTCTAAAGTTCTGTTGAGTTGAGCTGCTTTGTTTTCTTCTATTGTTGCTTCAGAATTATGAGTTAAAAGAGGGATTTTTTTTAAGTTTATTTATTTTGGGAGAGAGAAAGTACATGCAAGTGGTGGAGGATCAGAGAGAGAGGGAGAGAGAGAATTGCAAGCAGCCTCTGCAGTGTGGAGCCCAACGTGGGGCTCGAACCCACAAACCGTGAGATCATGACCTGAGCTGAAGTGGGACACTTAACAGACTGAGCCACCCAGGCGCCCCTAAATGAGGGATTAAATCCGGTTGATTAAACTCATTTATATTAAGTTTCTATATTTAAAGTTTTCAGATGAGTATTTTTGTTTTTGTCTCATGAAATTGTTTTTATTTAAAATTTCAGCTGATGGGGCGCCTGGGTGGCTTAGTCGGTTAAGCGTCCGACTTTAGCTTAGGTCATGATCTCGCGGTTCGTGGGTTCGAGCCCCGCGTCGGGCTCTGTGCTGACTGCCAGCTCGGAGCCTGGAGCCTGTTTCGGTCTGTGACTCCCTCTCTCTCTGACCCTCCCCTGCTCACGCTGTCTCTCTCTCTCTCCTAGAAATGAATAAAACATTAAAAAAAAAAAATTAAAAAAAAAAAAATTTCAGCTGATGTTTTACTTTGCCATCTCTATTTAATTCTCATCCAGACTTAAAATCATCATAAAGTGTTTTGAGAATGAGTATGTTGCCACAGTGGGATGTAATGTGTGTTTTGGAATGCTTTTTCCCCAAAGGTGCACTTTTTACGATGTTGGCTAAGTTTTATTTACTGCGATGTGTTGCTGCTGGCCTGTTTGTGAGTTATGATTATTATAGCAGCTACTGCATGAGGAGTTTTAACACTGCCTTTTTTACAGTTCTGTAAGCATTAAGCTGAAATTTTCTAGACCTGATTAGTGAAAAATATCACATTGCTTCAAGAATTTAGCTAAGGACTAAAGATTTATTTAACAAATTACAGTGTCTGAAGTTCGCTTGAATTTAGAGAAGATGATGGAACAGAAGAGTACAGCGGTAAAAGCTTTAACTGGTGGAATCGCCCACTTATTCAAACAGAATAAGGTCAGTGTTTTAATGTGCAGATGCCTACTTTATGCTCCGTACACATGAAGCATTACTTTATGCTGATAGACTGAGGTCCTTAGAACTTGGTGCTTGGGAGTACTTACTCTTATTTTTTTAATATTTATTTTTGACAGAGAGACACAGAGCGCAAGTTAGACAGGGGTGAAGGGAGAGGGGGACGCAGAACCCGAAGCAGCTCCATGCTCTGAGCTGTCAGCACAGTCTGACTGAGGGCTTGAACCCCTGAACCATGAGATCATGACCTGAGCTGAAGTCAGTCATTTAACTGACTGAGCCACCCGGGTACACCAATTTTGTTTTCCCTGCTGGGGATATTTACATAATTTAGAACTGTGTGCTAACCTGAAATAGAGTTCCCTGACATATATAACAAATTTTTTGCTGCTCCGTGTGTAACCTTACTAAGTAAGGAGGCATTTTGTACTCGGTGTATTAGTTTTTAAATCTTTTTTTTTTTTTTTTTTGTAATGTTTATTCTTGAGAGAGAGTGTGCAGGGGAGGGAGGGAGAGAGAGAGACACGTAGAATCCGAAACAGGCTTCAGGTTCCGAGCTGTTAGCACAGAGCCCAATGCGGGCCCGAATCCATGGACCATGTGGTCATGACCTGAGCAGAAGCCAGACGGTCAACTGACTGAGCCATCCAGGCACCCAAATGGGTGTATTGTTTAATAGAGTACTTCCCCCCCCGCCCCGTAATCATGATTTTTAATTGCAAAATCATTTTAAACTTAATGAATCTATAAATATTTTATTAAAGGTTGTTCATGTAAATGGATATGGAAAGCTAACGGGCAAAAACCAGGTCACCGTTACGAAAGCCGATGGCAGCTCTCAAGTTATTGATACAAAGAATATTCTTATAGCTACAGGTTCAGAAGTTACTCCTTTCCCTGGAATCACGGTATGCTTTTTACAACTGCTATAAGCTTCCTTCAGGAAGGTGTTTTATAAACTACTTTATTCATGCTGTTTATGAACTTTGGGGAATTTCTAACTGAAGTACCATATGTTGACAGCTTTGGGAAACGGTCTTTATTCTTCAGTGATTTTGACCAGAAATCGAACATTTCCTATTAAGATAGACTTGAATTCATTATAAAGTTAAAATTGACCATTTTGTTTTGAAATGCCGAATGATGAAATTTTAAGTGAGCATTTTTAATGGGATTTGTTAAAATTGAGCATAAGGATAGGAGTCATAGGTACCTCAAAACAAGTAAATGTCTTAGTATGTTTTGTGAGCTCATTTACATACCAGTACGTTTTTCCAAATAATTTTGATTGTATATATTTTATTATAGATTGATGAAGATACAATAGTGTCATCTACAGGTGCCTTGTCTTTAAAAAAAGTTCCAGAAAGGATGGTTGTCATTGGCGCGGGAGTAATAGGCGTAGAGCTGGTAAGTACCGCCGTTGCTCTAGTACTGGCCTCGTGGACTTGGAAGGAGCTTCTGGTCTCCTGTTGGATTCTGTCCACAGCACTGTAGGCAGATCAACATGGAGTTTTGCGTAAACACTTCTAGTAATTAGTCATTTTTAAGACAACCGATTTCTGTAATCATTAGTCATTAGAACATTCTCTTTTAGTTTGAAATCTGCTTCCCTGTATCTTCTACCCTTTGTGTTTCCTAGAACGGATTTTTAAAAAATCTGACCGCCCTTCAGTCCTTCAGGAGACCGTTCTCATCCTGAGCAGTTGCGTTTCAGATACGACTTCCGTGATCTGGCTCTTCCCTCTCCCTCCTCGTCTCGATCCCGCTTAGGTTTCGTCAGACTACTTGCAATTCCCTTGAGTACCTTGCTGGCTCATGCTCTCCTGCCTGCCTCGCTCTCCCTTCCTGCCCGTCTGGCGACTTTCCTGTAGCACCAGGGCCCTCCTCTCTCCATTTTAAGTATCTTTCCCGGGGCTGTTGTACCTTGGTAGCACTAAGAGCTGCTTTACTTTCGAAATCACAAATTCAGACATTTTATTCTCTAACAAGAACTTCCTTTGCTCTTTACTCAGGCTTTCTCAGGTGGTTTATCAGGTACTCTGGCCCTTAGGTCCCTCGGTGTGTTCACTCTCCGCATGTCCTGTCTTGACTGCTCTCCTGACCCGCTTGGACTCCACAGCCCATCACATTAGCCGCTCGTGTGGGTCCCCTGCGTCCTTGTTGCATCATCCCGTCTAGTCCTGGCTACATCCAGCTGCCTGCTCTTCTTTTTAAACTGAAGCATAGTCGACATACGATGTTCTGTTAGCTTCAGGAGTACACCCTGGTGACTCCACAGTCTTGTATGTTGTGCTCTGCCCGCCACAGATGCGGCTGCCCTCTCACCGCACGGCTCTATAACGATACTGCTGACTGTCCCATTTCCTGTGCTGTGCCATTTATCCCCGTGATTTACTCATTCTGTTACCGGAAGCCTGTGCCTTCTACTACTCCACCCTTTTTGCCCATTCTTCCACTCCCCTCCGGCAACCCCCGGTTCTCTGTATTGATGGGTCTTTTTCTGTGTTTTTTTAGTTTTTTTTTTTTTTATTTCACATATAAGTGAAATCATGTGGTATTTGTCTGACTTACTTCACTTAGCATAACACACCCTCTGTCTGTCCATGTTGTCACAAATGGGAAAAATCCATCCTTTTTAATAGCTGAATAGTGTTCCATTGTATATATAACTGCATCTTCTATCTGTTCATTGGTCAGTGGACATTTAGGTTGCTTCCGTATCTGGGCTGTTGTAAATGTGCTGCAGTAAACATAGGGGTGCATACATCTTTTTGAATTAGTGTTTTCATTTTCTTTGGGTAAATACCCAGTAGCGGATTACTGGATGGTATGGTTTTTCTATTTTTAATGTTTTGAGGAACTTCTGTACTGTTTTTCTAGAGCGGCTGTACCAATTTACATTCCCACCAGCAGTGCTTGAGGGTGCTTTTTTCTCCACATCCTTGCCAACACTTGTTATTTGTCACTGTTCAATACTAGCCATTCTGACAAGTATAAGGTGGTATCTCATTGTGATTTTGATTTGCATTTTTCAGATGGTTAGTAACGTTGAGCATCTTTTCATGTGTCTTTGACCATCCGTATATCTTTGAAAAAGTGTCTTGTCAGCTCAGAGGAGCTGTTTTTAATTGGGTTATTTGTATTTTTGATGTTGAATTGTGTTAAGTTCTTTATGTATTTTGGATACTAACCCCTTATAGGGTATATCCTTTGTAAATGTCTTCTCCCGTTCAGTAGATTGCCTTTTTGTTTTGTTCATGGTTTCCTTTGCTATGCGAAAGCTTTTTATCTTGGTGTAGTCCCAGTTGTTTATTTTTGCTTTTTTAATTTTCCCTTGCCTGAGGAGACAGATCTAGAAAAATGTTGCTGAAGCTTATGTCAGAGAGATTACTACCTGTTTTCTGCTAGGAATTTTATAGTTTCAGGTCTTACATTAGGTCTTTAATCCATTTGAGTTTATCTTTGTGTAAGAAAGTGGTCTAGGTTCATTCTTTGACATGTGACTGTCCAGGTTTCCCAACACCATTTATTAAAAAGACTGTCTTTTCCGTATTGCGTGATCTTCCTTCCTTTATCATAGACGACAGCAGCATGGGGTTCTTTCTGGGCCTCCTAGTTTGTTTCATTGATCTGTGTCTCTCTTTTGTGCCATTAATACACTTTTTGATTATTATTGATCTTGAAATCTGGGATTGTGTTACCTCCATCTTTGTTCTTTCTCAAGATTGCTTGGCGGTTATGGGTCTTTTGTGGTTCCTTACAGATTTTAAGATTATTTGTTTTAGTTCAATGAAAATTACTCTTGGTATTTTGATAGGATTGCAGTGAGTCTTTGGAGAGTCTGTGAGCATGGTAGGTCTTCCATCAGTGTTTAAAAATTTTCAGAGTATATGTCTTTCACCTTCTTAGTTAAGTTTATTCCTAGGCATTTCATTCTTTTTGGTACCATTATGAATGGAATTATTTTCTTAATTCCTCGCTCTGCTAATTTTTTATATTAGTGTATAGAAATGTAACCAATGTGTACATACTGATTTTTGTGTGCTGCATCTTCATTGAATCCATTCGTTGTGATCATTTGACCTCTGCCGGTCTCTGCACTCCGAGCCTTCCTCCACCGCCCCACGTGCCTGCTGTGCTCTTGCCGAGTGCTCCCGAATTGCTCTCACATCGCTGAAACTCCTGCTTTTTTTGGGTGGAATCATTAGGGTTTTCTGTGTATAGTGTCGTGTCATCCTCAGATGTGAGCTTTACTTCTTTCCTACCAGTTTGGATGCCTTTTCTTCCTGGTGTTGCTGTGGCCGGGATGAGAGTGCTGAGAGGGGCCGTCCTTGCCACATTCCTGACCTTAGTGGAAAAGCTCTCAGGCTTTTGCTGTTGAGGGTGATACCTGTGGGTTCGTCGTATATGGCCTTTATTATGTTGAGGTATGTTCCCTCTAGACTCCCTTTTGTTAAGAGGTTTTATCATGAGCAGAAGTTGAATTTTGTCAGAATTTTTTCTGCATCTGTTGAGACAATCATGACAATTTTCATCCTTAATTCATTTTGTTAATATGTGTCACGTGGATTGATTTGAGGATGTTGGACCATCCCCAGAATAAATTAAATCTAACTTCATCATGGTGAATCATCCTTTTTTTGGTTTTTTAAATTTTTAAAAAAAATTTTTATTTTTGAGAGACAAGAGCATAAGCAAGGGAGGGGTGGAGAGAGGGAGGGAGGGAGACACAGACTCCGAAACAGGCTCCAGGCTCCGAGCTGGCAGCACAGAGCCCGACGCGGGGCTGGAACTCACAGACCGTGTGGTCATGACCTTAGCAGAAGCCAGACACTCAACCGACTGAGCCACCCAGGCCCCCCTGATTTTACTCTTCAGTTTGGTGACACCTTTTTGGTGGCCTGTCCTGGAGAATGCTACATGTGCACTTGAAAAGAATGTTGTTTTTGGATGGAATGTTCTGAATGTTGTTAGGTCCATCTGGTCTGCTGTCTTGTTCAAAGACACAGTTTCCGTACTTTCCATTGATGCAAGTTGGGTGTCCCCTACTGTTACTGTATCACGTCTTTTCGTCTGTGTACATGTTTACGTTTATATATTTAGGTGCTCCAGTATTGGGTGCATAGATATTTGTAATTGTTATATACTTTTGTTGGACTGTTCCTTTTGTCATCATGCAATGCCCTTGTCTTTTGTTACAGTCTTTATATTTTATTTTATTTTTATTTTGAGGTCTCTTTCATCTAATTTAAGTGTTGATACCCTGGCTTTTTTTTTTGCCTTCCATTTGCATAGGTTATCTTTTTCCATGCCTTCCCTTTTGTTCTGTATTTTCTGAAGCAAGTCTCTTATAGGCAGCTTATTGATGGATCTTGTTTTTTTTTTTTTATCCATTCTGTCAGCCTTGTGTTTTGATTGGAACATTTAGATTATTTACATTTAATTATTGATAGGTATGTACTTACTGCCTTTTGTTACTTGTTTTCTTTTATTTTTTTATTTAAAAAATATTTTTTTACATTTATTTCTTTATTTTTGAGAGAGAGAGAGAGCGAGACAGAGCGTGAGCAGGGGAGGGGCAGAGAGAAGGAGACACACAATCCAAGGCAGGCTCCAGGCCCTGAGCAAGAGTTCAGCACAGAGCCTGACACAGGGCTCGAACCCACGAACTGTGAGATCATGACCTAAACTGAAGTTGGACACACCAACTGAGCCACCCAGGCGCCCGTTACTTGTTTTCTCATTGTTTTTGTAGTTTTTCTCTGTTCCTTTCTTCTCTTGCTCTTTTTCTTTGTGATTGATGAGTTTCTTGAGTATAGTTATGCTTGTCTTTCTCTCTCTGTTTTTTGTTTGTCCTGTTACAGGTTTTTGGTTTGTGGTTAGCATGAGGTACATAGGTAACATCTAAGTATATAGCAGTCTGTGTTAAGCCGATGGTCGCTTAAGTTTGAGTGCCTGCTAGAAGGACTGCATTTTTTACTGCCCACTGCTGTTTTATGCGTATGTTGTTCTATTTTACATTCTCTAATGGAGTCCCCTTGACTAATACTTTATTTATAAAATAAATACTTTCGTCTTTTAACTTTCTTTGTAAGTAATTGAACTACTATCTCTACTATGTTTTTACGAGTGAAATTTTTTTGTGTGTGTTATAATTTCTTCTAGGTATGGTCTTTTTTCCTTTACCGTTTCTTGTAGGGCCGCTGGTTCATTGGTGAGGAGCTGCCCTAACTTTTGTTTGTCTGGGAAGCTTTGTCTATCCTTCAGTTCCGAATGGCAGCCTTGCTTGGTAGAGTGTGCTTCCTTGTAGGTTTTGAACATTTGCTGCCACCCCCCTCTGGTCTTCAGGGGTTCTTCTGGACAGTCAGCTCATAGCCTTATGGGGTTTCCCTGCTATGAAACTCGTT